TTAGTGGCTGTTGTGATTGAAATTACATTATCTGTTGATTGGGTTGGTAGTCCAGACGATTGCTTCTGTTCTTTTTCTTCTTTACTCTTGGAAGAAATTTTCTATGTGCCATGCTACTACTGTTGCTTGTCATCTTAGTTCTGTAAGAATAAGCCACCCTCTTTTAAGTTCATTACGCGTTTTAACATCCTATGCAAATGCAAAAACGCATTCTGTCGAGAGGTTGTCGGTGTGTGTGTGTGTGTTCAGTATGCATCTCGGTACATGTATATGTTTGGATCCTTGTTACCCACTTTCAACTCAGCAACGGCAGAAATTTTCAGCGAGTTAAAGACGCAAACTTCAGATTAAAAACATGCCTAAGCCACGTGTACAGAACGACACAGTTTAGATTTTGTAGTTGCTAGCAAAATGCTAAAACGCCAGGTTGATTAGAGTGCTACTACCTTATGAGAATAGTCGTCGTCAATATTTGAACAAAGAGGCTTAAAATAATCTTTGGCGCGCGCCTTCGCGTCGCATCTGGGCATATCAAAGATATTTGTGACAAAGAACGATTTCGCCAACCAATTAAGCCAGGAAGCTGAAATCTTATGAGGATGTTCTGCGCCTATGTGCAACCCAAACATTTCAAAAAAATGCTCGAATCGTCAATTCATTGTGTGAGAGCGCCTAACAAATCATTACATTTTGCTACATTATTTCAGGCATACTGTTTCACCGTATGAATTTTATGGTCGCCCGTTGAAAATAATAAGGAAGTTGCCGGATCGTTATGTGCGAAGTGGTGTGTCGAGTGATGCAGCAGAAGAATTAGTAGATGAGGAGTTTCAAGCAATGCTTAGCGCATTGAAGGAATTTTCGGATTTCGCAGACGAGTTGAATTTATTTTATGGCCTCAGAGAAAACCGAAAAAAAATCGATTTCAGCCGAGTGTTTGTTGATTTTTTCATTGTTAGATAGTTTGTTAATAATTTTAGCACATCATATTTATGTGGTTGTGCAAGGCGTATTTGGAAAAAATAGCACTTTTGTTATGCAGAAATTCGATGGCTTAGCTCCTCCGATAGTTTGCAACCAGTCTGTACGATTTGTTTATTTGTTCCAGTGACAAATTGATACTGTTTATGTCATGGAAACAAATTCAGCCATCCGCTTGTTTGTAAGCAGTTCTTGAATGGGGAGCGATCGGCGCCAGCTACGGCTTGGCTAGGCCCAATTTCGCCTTGGTTGAAGAGCGAGTTGCGAAAACTGTGTTGGTGATGGATAACGTTACTCCAAGCGCTGGGTAAAGCAGATTTGAGGTGGTGGATGGAAAAGGGGGGCAATGCAGTGCGGATTTGGTCTGCAGAGATGTTTATCTTTTTAGTTAAAAGTCCCCTGTTTCAGATTTGCTTCACTGAAAGAGGGCGAACGTGTATACGGTGTTGTTGAAGAAACAGATGAAAATTTTGCGCCGTTTACTGGCACTTGGAAGAGGGTCGAAATTTTGGCTTTAAAGGTAGTTATTTGAGATAGTATTTGAATAAATGATTATTAATACTCACAACTTAATAAATGGCAGTAATCATTTATTAAACCGGGAATATTAACCATGCTTACTATTATGATAAGTCTCTTACTGTTTGAATCCACCAGTGTGAGTACTGGTCCCTCTACAACTTTTAAGTCGTACCGATGGCAAGTTGGTGGTTGTGCATATCGGTATGTTTCGGCATTAAAGTTAATCACAAGTGACTTTTGGAAAATGATATGTCAAAAGCCATGGCAGCGAGTAGCTTTTTTCCAGAAAAGTGCATTCAGTAGTGCTCCTTGCGCTAGTTTATGCTCCTCAGAAGGTAAAATGCTTCGAACGAAGCACTGGTGCATGGTGATTGTACGGATAAGCGAAAGAAAACGGGGCCCTGGAAGCGCAAGTTTTGACTTTAGGCTTGGAACTTGCAAACACGCTTGTAAACTGTATTCGCTGTGAGTTTAAATGGACTGCGAAGAATCCTAGTGGTGCTGCTGTTGTTGTTGCTGTGGTTTTGTTATTGTTTTTGTTGCTGTTGTTGTTCCTACCTATGCTTAATGCTGTTGACGGAAGAAAATATGAGAACGCATTCAGTTCCGTTGTATACGAGAGGTATATTCACAAAAAGGGGCTCCATCGATAGCAGTGCAACAAGAAAGGCTTATGATGTAATTGCAACACAGCACACGATTAATCAGGAAATAATGAAGATGAGAAATTTTATTCTGTCACTGCTCAAAACGATTTACATGGAATGGCGCTGCCGATTGTTTCGTCTGCAGCGATAACTTTTGAACTCAAGTCTCCTAATTTTACTAATTATAGCCGCTGAAGGATTTTTGGATTGCAGTTCGTGACAGATTATGTCGTATACGATATCTTGATACTGGAGG